GAACTCGGCTCACGACCCCTTCACTGTCAAGTCCTCCAATGGTGATGCAACAAGTGTGCGCGATTTCGATAACTGCTATGGACGCGCTTACTGACTTCGACAATGCCAATGCGGTGGACAGAATATGTTCTTCGCGCCGGGTCTCCAACCGAATGATGTTCGTTTTAGCGATGACAGCAAGTGTTTGTGACTCTGAATCGTGCATACTAACGATCGCCGGCCGGCTGTAGCGCCTAAGGCACAAAGCAGGCTGCATCACGCGCATTCCCGTTCTAATTAATTGTCATTCCCAAAAGTGGCCTTTTAGCCCGAACATATGCATAACGAACATATGCGTAAGGAAAGAAACGTTTTCACTTTTGTTCTTGTTTAGTGTCGGCACCACGGCGCCATGACTCGAACTCATGCTATGCATTTGCTCCTTATTCCTCTGCACGAAACCCGGAACCTTGCAGGAATATTGCACCGTAAAAGGCGCACTTATCAGGAGGAGACGCTGTAACTTTTGGCGGATGCCATGCAATAATTATTTTTGGTGGAAAAATTATCTTTTATTACCAAAGCTGCCGTGGTGCATCCAGGATCAAGGGTAAAGGGTACATAAAGGGTAAAATGTATGGGTTCATGCCAGTGTGAACAACGTGTCGTAATCCAACACTCAACATGTTTTTTTCAGTATCGAAGATAGTGCTAGGAAAACGGTCAATTTGTCATCTCGGCGATTTAGGGGCCGAGCAAATGCCGTCATGTACTTTGGTGCGCTAGCATCACCGTGACCCGAAAGAGAGCGTAACGGCCCTTGCAGCCGATGCACTGACAAACAAGGCGCATCGGAGCCGAAAGCGGACACCGACAGCTGGGCCATCTAACGTGAGCATGAGAAGACTGATCTGGAATGCAGAAAACTCATTTTCAGAATGCTTTCAAATCAAATCACAGCGATGAAAACTGCACTTCAGAGATTTGCCTCAACTGCACTAGCAATATTTTTTCGAGCAAAAATCTTATTTAGGCGCTGGAACCAGAGATTCTGACATGTTAGCTACTATCGTTGGCAATGGACTGTTGGCTACGCAAGTTCGTTTGGAGCCAAAACGTGTATATTTACCAACTTAGACCAACCATTTACGGAGTGGATTTACGGAAAAAACATTCGCCCTGCACCTTGAAAAGTACCGAGAGAAAAACAAGTCTACTTTGCTAGCCATGGGAAAATAACGACTTTCAGAAATGTGCAGATGGGCTCATCGCGTGACACCGCATATTGTTCAGAGCTTGCAGCGAGCGATAACAGCTGCTTATGCGCTGCGTATAGTATTATCACAACTCCTCTGTAACCTGTGCATATCAGATCGATGTTTCATGGCAAGGCCAAATGTACGAAACCGTGCGGCAGCCCGAACTCCACGGACGGACGGACGTGGTCGCTGTGAAGCTCGGATGGTACCGCGCCCGAGACAACCGTACATCTCGCCACACCTCTCCCCACACATCTCGCCACACTTCTTCGATGTGCAGACATACAGAGCCGGCGCGCTGTTTATTTTCACAGGGCTTCATCAGTGCTGGGACGGGGATATCACACACGCTCGCGCCCTGAATGAAATAAGGCGCCGTCTTTGACCTTGTCAGAGCTGTGAACGCTCCGCGTGGCGCCGCGGTCGCTGTGGAGGCGCCGATAGCGCGCAGGCCATTGGGGTTAACCGTCCGGCTCGAAGGACGATCGTGTTGTGAGCGTGGTGGAGGCTCCGGTTGGCGCTCAGGGCGAGCCGTTCAGCTGCCGGTGCCGCCCTCGTGGCTCACCGCTCTGCCCGTTCTCGAATACCACGGACCTCACGGCGATGTGGCTGTTTTGTGTGCGTGACCTCATCTAAAGACCACATATTTTCTTCCAGCCGGTTTAAGATCATCGCGAGTGTCGTCTGAGATAAAGCGAGGGAGCACCAGCTTTGTTTATATTTCACGGGCACTGCCCGACGACATTGCAGGGTCAACTTGAAACCTCCGCGGGAAGTGAAATGACCGTAATCCGCTCGAACAGATCACCCTTCGAAGCGTCACCAAACAGCAACGACCCGTCAGATTTCAATGATACTGATATTCGATACGTGACGCATCAGATTCCGCCCAACCTCACTTGCAGCATCGCACCACGATTTGACAGCGCTGCACCCGCGTCCTCTGCAACACCAAGTGGCGTTGCGTTGGCGGCGATGTACTCACAGCGGCTCGGTGGGCTCAGTGCCTGGTGGCTGTCTTGCCGTCCACTCCCGCAGAGTGGGGTGCGATGGTGAGACTCATGCGTCTCGTGGCGCCCGCGGCCGGCTGTATCGACCGCCAGCGCCGTGAACAATAGCAACAGCCGGCTGCCGTCCGCCAGACAGGTCCAAACGTTGACCGCCAGCAAATAATGCCCTCAATAGGCCAGCGTGCTGCCTGATGGAGAGCGCTTGGCACCACTGGTAGCTGCCGGCTAACGAGACGAAGTCATGCGGCTTCAATAACAAAACATCGCCGTTGGGCCCTTCCCACCTTTCAGTAATAACGCGTCAGTCTGGAGTCGGAAAAACGGCAGCAAAACGGCAGCGTCAATATGAACGACGTGTTTTGCAGCATTTAACTTTTGCCTCCGCGGCACCCTATATTGCATCATGACTGAAGAGAAACGGCTCACAAGAAAAGGATAAACAAATGAGTTAGGGTGCTGCACAGCTCTAAACTTGTTTACGTTTCTGGTGTAATGAGTGAGAAGGCACATCAGCTGGAGCAGTCCTGGTAAAAGAAGGCAACAGAAACTACCACCAGTTTTTTGTACCCATTTATTCACACTTCATGAAAGCATTATTACCAATGCAGTACATCACACGCACGTAAACACTTGGACGTAACCATTACTTAAGTGTTCGTGATGCCGATTTCTGTTTTGTTACCATCAGGTGTGGTCAGAATACAAAACAGTTCGTCAAATCACCCCAGATTTACTGGACCTGAGACCCTGTATGCCCCATTGGTGGCTACGCCCATGTGTGAGTAAAATAAAAAAGAGAACTCGAGAGAACTATTTCACTGCATGATTTTACACTTTACTGGTACAAATTTACCAAATGACCACGCCCAGCAGCAATCACACCAGACATAAAGTTGGCACATTTTTTAAACTGCCATTGTTCAGGTTTTTGCCAGACTGCAGCATCATCACGATTACTAAAGCCGTTTTTCACTGGTGCATCCGTATGGCTATTTTGCAAACGTGAACAGGACTTAACTATGACAAAATCGGCCCGCCGCAGACCAGGAGGAAAATCGGCCGCATAAGCTGGCCGGGTAGCCATCTGGCTGACCGCTGAAGTTCTCAGGCGGCGGCAGGCCGGCGGGGTAACACGCCGCCAGGGCCGTGCCCCCCCCTCCCCACCCTCCGTCCAGCTCTGATTAAATTGGCAAATCACGTCGGTGGCGCGCGCCCGTTTCAGCCAGCGGCGCGAGCGGCACCGAGCAGCGCCACGTGGTCACGCTACCGACGCCGCTGAGCAGGGGGACCTGCGCACGGAGACGCGTGGACACTGACGCTGCTGGGGCATGAGGGGATCGTCGGCAAACGGACTGGGCCCACTCATTTCTGTGAAGGGAGCTTATGGTGTGTTTAATGGAATGGTCTTCCAGTTTATGCCTACCATAGGGGTCGGTCATAAATTACGTTACACATGAAGGGGAGGAGGGCTTAGACGTAACGGAAGCATAATAATGGAAGGCGGCTTTGAACACCGTAACGTTACTCTTGATCGTGGTTGCAAATTATTCAAAAATATTCAAGAAATCATGTTTAAACAGCAAGGCCGGCTGCCCTTGACTTACTCTTATGACAAACAGCACGCCCGTCTTTGTTTCGCGTCCCTAGCTCAGTTGGGGCAAAGCTGGCTTTAATTTGGGAGAAATTACGCTAAAAACTGCATAACCAGGTTAGGGGACTTTGCCCAGTGTAATCAGTGAGCAGCCAGGTGGTTGTAGAGGGTTGAGCTACGGCCACAGGTGCTTAAAATAAATTCTAAACGGCTCCGTGTCAGAGAGAAAATCTGCGCCAGCATTTTATTTCGACCCCTTTTCCTAAACATGCCCTGTCATCTACAGCAACGCTCTATGCATCGTTCCTTGTTCATGCTGCAGCTACGCCGCATCACCGTATCTGTCAGCTCGCGGGCGATGGACATATGGGAGGCATGCAATCTTAATGCAGCCAAGATACTTAGAGTGAGTGACGTTTTGAAAAATCAATGTAATTTGCATTCCAATTTCATGTTCCGTACTTCACATTTTTAGCTATAGAAACATCCAATGTCGGAGCGCTCCATCAACGTCGACCCAGGAACTGACGTCACATGTGTGTAAATTTATTAGAGGTGCAGGATTTTTAAACCACCGCGCCGGCGGCCGGTATCGAGCCAATGCCGGTGGTCTGCATCGAAACCGGCGTCACTGCAGGGGGTCCGATATCGACGTCCTGCCACTTTCGTGACCTCATTTACCCATGACCACCACGAAACTGGTGCAATTTTACCGGAACCCAGCTTCGGGACGTGACCGCAGGTCAGCTGGTCATGTGACCCTGTTGGGCGGCCTGACTTGTGCCAGATGAGTGGAACGTGGGTCGATTCCAAACTGGCATCCAGCGAACGGATATGCAGTGCCCATGATGCTCAGGGGGCGAGCATTATTAACTCGCCACCGGAGCAGTTGGCTAGGTGCGCGGTGGAATGACCCAAGGTCAATTTGTCACGAAGCTGGACGTCGGGGTTGGCACCACCAGACATTTGCCGTTTCGCGACAGAGCCGGGCAGCCGCTGGAGGACAGCGTCAACCGCGAGAGGAGCCGTTCTACACACACAGGGCGACCAAAATTAAGCTGTCCAAGCCCGTCTACAACGTGGTTCATTTCACGAGAAAACTGATTCGGTCGCTGATGACTAAGAAATCCTCAGCAGCGAAGACCGCAAGCACAGGTGTATATGACGAAGTCTGTGCACCTGATGACCCTCAAGTCACGCCTCGGACCACCATGGCTGGCCGTGTTGCAGGAGCTCAAGAAGCCGGAAATTCGGCAAGGCGGTGAAGAAGCGGGCCATTACCGGTTCGCAACAACAACTGAAAAGCGACAGTTTCGGCCTTTCAGCTGGGCATCTTAGTGCCGTGTGTGCTGAGCGATAGAATCAGCACTTGGTTTGCATGATTAGGGGGCGTATTAGTGTTCCACGTCGCCATATGGATGTGCAATACTTGCCAGTGCAGCACTCGGCCGCATTACACGCCGTCACAAGAGGTGCCACATAACCTGCACACCTAACCGCGGAGACGGTGTTCTAATTAATGCGGCGAAGTGAGGCACACTTCTGTGCGGACGGCGGTCGGGGAGTGTGGCAAACGATGAACGTGCATCTTAAACTATGTCACCATTTTTCTTTTTTAAAGCGTAAATATTAAGCAATTAAGCAATCGAATTAAATTTAAAGCAAACAAAAATCAGAGCAAAAAGCAATTAAGCAGCCCCAAATGTATGTTGTTTGTGTGAAATGTTGTCCATGACCATGACGGGCATCTACTTAAACAAATGTCAATTGTTCGTCTCGGTGTTAGTCATACCAGTCATTGTGTTGGTGGAAAATGCCCGATCATCTACAATGCTTTGGCACCGGAAAATATTTTGTTTAAATACCTTAGGTTTCGATCAGCTGGCATATCATAGGCCACCTTCACTACGGGTTTCCTTTGGTGCAGTGATGCAATACCACTCTGGCGGAGTTTCCTGTTACCAGCACGCCGGTCACCGGTCACTGGACCACTTCGCGTCAAGTTTCACCATCAGCCAAGTACCAGCCTCGTGAGACACACTGTCCGCTAAGGACCACATATATGTCCGGGCCAAAGTGGATGATCAGCCCAATGTCCCATAAACGACGGCACGTCATCGGCAGCGGGCCGCCTCATCGCGCCGCGACCGGAGGTGGTCCCAGTTGTCCCGTGTTCTCTGGCCGACGCCCGTCCCGTGTCTCGGAGGCTGAAGCAGGCGCTGCGCTTGTGCCCGCAGGCGACGCTCGCCGCGCTGGTGGATGGCGCTCAACTGGACGGAGGGCGGCGACGGAGGCGGCGGCGGCGCGGACCCGCTGTCGGCGACCGAGGCATCCTCTGAGGGCGGCTTCAGTCTGCCCTACACCGTGTGCGAGGTGCTCGTCGCCATCACAGCCGCGCTCGGCAACAGCCTCGTCTGCCTCGTGTTCCTCACCGACCGCCGCCTGCGCAAGCACACCAACTACTACATCCTGTCGTTGGCGCTCTCAGATATGCTGGTCGGTATCCTGGGCGTGCCGGTGGCCGTGCTGGCCAGTGCCGGCTTGCCTAAGGCGCTGCAGGCCTGCCTCTTCAGCATCTCGGTGCTGCTCATCCTCTGCACCACCAGCATCCTGAACCTGCTGGCAGTGTCGGTGGACAGGTTCTGGGCCATCCTGTACCCGATGCAGTACGCCCGCATCATGACTGGACAGCTAGTGACCGGTGAGGACCCGACCTTGTGATGATCGGCGCACAGTGGCTGACATTGCTTGAAGTTACCCGGAAAGAAGCGTGGTATTGTGTATATCGTGGAATGCCGTGCCGTCTATTCCTAAAGACCTTGCGATCAAACCTCCTTTTTCACCCCACTTATTTACGATAAAGAACGCGATATTTCGGCAAAATAATATTCGTTTCTCAAACTTAGGCTAGGCGTCTCAAACTTAGGCACGCAGGTCATGCATGTATACAGGAGGAATGTACAAATATGGGGAAGAACATTCGTTAGCCACCAGTTTCATAGAGACAAATTTCTACAGTTTTCAAAATTGCTGCAGGCACTATGGCGTTTCCTTTCAGAAAACAAATGTTTTTTATCGACGTTGTGCTGTCCCTGCTCCGTGTAGGTACGCAATCAGGGCGCATCCAAAGTCTTGGCAAGATGGAGGGGGCACGGGGCTGACAAAGGGTCCCTGGTGGAGAAAGCCTCCCAAAAAATTGCCGGATGTGGTCCATTTGTTAAAGAAGCATTCTTTTCTTTGTCGTTTTTTCAAATTTACTTTCCTTAACTGGAACGAAAGCCAGAGGCTATCACGGGATCAATTCTGCCTGAATTTTATGATCGATAAGCTGAAAAAATCATGTATTAGGTGACTGCACGGAATAAATCGCGGACGCTCTTCACTTAACAACGATACAGTGGGTTTTTTTGAAACCACTAAAACTCAAAAGACTTGCCAGAATTTGTATCTGGGTTCTACAGAGACATTAAAGGCCCCGAGAATGTAGATTGTGGATCGAAATGTGTTAACAATTTGCATGAGCATGGCTAGCCCAAGTTCGGCTGGAATCGTTGAACATTCGACCAGAGTTTATTAGCGATACAAATTAAGTAACGTAGCTTTGGACATGCGCGCTCACAACTCTTGGCAACAAAAAAACTCACCGCCAGGCGTTGCAGTCTCTAGCCGGCGCAGGTGGTCCCGCACTAAGCCCCGGGGCAAATACTAAACCATGGCCAACTGGTGTACAACAATGATGACGAATCTCAAAGAAGTACATTTGAAGGCTCAAGGACCTCGAGTCGTACATTTAGAAGGAAGTCCGGACGTAAATTTCACCTGTGCAATATTTAGATTGATAATAAGAACGTATTGGTCTTGAAGCACCGCGAAGTGGTGCTGACATCTGATGGTGGTAGAACTGAAAGAATAAAGGCATAATCTCCATTTTTCGTGTTTCTGTAACTGTTAATCTGTCTCGACGACAACCTCAAAGTTATAAGAAAGATATGCCCAGTCTAATCCTTAAATGATGCGAACTAATTTTGAAGGACATTCGGAGATGTTTTTCACGACTGTCGTTATTGCGTGCACGGTGCCCGTCGGCTGGTGTTACTTGCAGTGGCCTAGGCCATTTGATTTTGCGGAAAATGCAACCCTGGCCATCGCTGTCCTTGATTCCGACGTTACAGGCACGCAGACTCAAACCTTTTGGTATAATTCGTTTCACTGGTTGATTCTGCAAAAGCATGAAAAAACGTTCTCAGACTAACATGGAACGGCCTTTTTCATTTTTGAGCTCATTCCGATTCACTGTGTCTAACGCTGATGAGATACATTTCTTCTCTCCGGGCAAGGATCCCCCTTGAGTAGAACACTACGGGCACATTATTGTCCCCGGTCAAGGGCCGAAGAGCCATTTCGCTTCACCGCGGGGTGTCTTTCGGCTGCCACTCCGGCGACACGGGGCGGGATCCGCTGGCCGACCCGAAGGCCCTTAGAGAGACACACCATATCGCAATGGTCCTCTCTCTGGAGCGGGATGCCTTCTGACCCGACCTGTTGGCTCCGGATAGACGCGGGAATCATAACTGACACAACAACATCCCTGATCGCCGCAGGTAGTCCAATAATTGACACATAGACTCCAGCTCAGCTCAACGGGCTCATGCTGGAACTGGGTTCAAGGGCCCATCGTTCGGTGCGGGGGGCCTCACTGACACAGGACCCTAGCATTGTCGCAATGCCAACACTCGTCATAAGTTCTCATGTTTCCTTTTGTTGTCAGAAGGTCCCGATCAACGCCAGAGGCACTCTGGCGTTCGGAACCCGTCCCCGTACATGTTCAGCGAATGTTCTCCTAGGCAACTCAAGACCCCTTGTTGGCACTGAACCTCCAGGGATCCCGCAGTGCCCTGCTAGGCACTGTGGACCCCTGAGCGATACAGGAGCCCTGCACTGTTGCAAGGGCTCCCGAAAAATGAAAACTGCGGGCCCGGACTTGTCCCTGCTTGGAAAATGGGGCCCCAGAGCTCAGACCGATACGGAGTCCATTGCTCGATGTTGGTGATCTCTGGCCGAAACAGAGGAACGCTCTGTTTCATGGGTCCCCAGTAGGCGCAAAAAGCCCCTTAAGTGATATTTGAGATCACAACCAAAAGAGCTGGGTCCCTGATGCGGCCTATAGCCGGCCCTTCGGTCCGTCATCCTTCCAATTGGGGCCTTGATATGTGGTCGCAAGGGCCCTTCAGGCCCCTTTTCGCCCTCCCCCAAACATAGCTTCCTTCTACTCGAGCCCCTTGCCGACACGGGACCTATGATAGGTACGGTGAGCCTCTGACCCCCATGGTTTCAGTGACCTCGAGTAATGCTAATCGCGGGCCCCGTCTTGCTCGTGCTTGGGAAATGGACCCTCAGGGCTTAGACCGACGCGTAGCCAACTGTCTGGGGTTGGTGGTCTCTGGCCGAAATCGAGGTGTGCACTGTCCCAGAGGTTCCTAATCGATGCAAGAAGTCCTCTGACTGACAGTTGAGATCACGGCCTTACGGGAGGGGGCATCCTTAATGTGACCTACCGTCAGTCCTTCGGGGCTTCAACCTTGTAACCGGGCCCTTGATATTTGGTCCCGAGGGGCCCTTCGGCCCCTCTTCGAACCTCCTTAAACAAAGCCTATGACCGACTCGGGGCCACTAACCGGCACATGACCGCCTGCCAGGAGCTATGGGCTGCTGACCTACAAGGGTGCTCCAGCCATCGTTTAAGGGACCCATACCAATGAAAATCGTGGCCCCGGCCTCGCTCCTGCTTGGGAAATGGCCATCAGGGTTAACACTGACAGAGAGCGAACCGTGCCGTGTTCGTGGTCTCTAGCCGACTTAGACACGGGCATGGTCTCAGGGGGTCCTTAACGATGCAAGATGACCTCTGACTGATATTTCAGGTCACGGCTCTACGGGCCGTGATTCTTTATGTAACCTACAGCCAATCCTCGGGCTCCTTTGCCCTCCAACCGGCCCTTAATCGTCCGTTCCAGTAGGCCGCCCGGGCCCCCCTCAGCCTCATAAAACACTGTCCTTGGTCGGCTCGGGGCCCCTTGCGAACACCGGACCCCCCTTAGGCACTCCGGGCCCCTGACACTCAGGGCCCCAACTAATGTAAATTGCCGTCCCCGGCTTTACAGCTCATAAGAAAATGGACCCTCAAACCCATGTTGACACGGAGCCAGCTGTGCGTTACTGATGGTACTTGTCCGACATATAACCTCTTATCGACTCAGGGGCCCCTGATCAGCGCGGATGACCCTCTAGCTGGAATTGGAGTGCACGGCCCTGCGGGCTGGGCCCCTAAATACGGCGTCCTGGTGATCTTTTGCGCCCTTCGAGCACCCAAATCGTGCCCTTAATCGTAGGCCCCGAAGAGACCCTTGGGCTCCTCGGAACTCAAGCGGGAGAGGGGCACGTGTCCCTTTACCCCCTGTCTGTGCCACTCTACGCAACCCCCTAAATGCCAACTGGTGAGCGACCGTCGATGCAGCACGTCTGGCGTAATCGTGAGGAGGCTCAAACCCGCCCGCACGTGCGGCCAAGTCCCGCATCAAAGTTCTCACTTGCCCTCACCTCAGTCCTCGACATGGTTAGAGACTAGAGCCATCTGCCTGCCATCTCGCCGCAGGTATTATCATCGGCTGTTGGGTGCTGGGTGCCGTGGTCGGCCTCTTGCCGGTGATGGGCTGGAACGCTGGCCCCTACCCGTTCTGTATCTTCACACGCGTCATGGACTACAACTACCTGGTCTTCCTCTACTTCGCCACCATCGTCTTCCCCGGCCTGCTCATGGCCATCTTCTACATCAGGATATACATCGTCGTGGTAAAGCAGGTGAGTGCTTTGCTCTCTGTCAACAATGGGACGTTGTGAAGCGATGCTTGCAGAAAAGGTCCGCATGAAGCGCGCCTCAAACGCATAGGCACACCATACGGGTAACAACGCCATGTGATCCATGTACCATGTCATGTGACCTCAGATCACTGCATTAAGTAAAGGAATGAATGGACGAACGACTATCGTAAGTCAACTAAGTCTGTACATTACGTGCGGCAGAAATGAAAGTGGAATCGCGACTCTAGCGATCAGCAGGGTTTCACCACGGATCTAAAACAAATCTGCCCTTAGATCCGCAAAATTGACCCGAGTCCAGATCACGGATCCAGGACCGATTTCTGACACTGCCGACGGATTCACTGTAATCAAGGATACATTTCAAAATGCCCCAGGGTCTTGGATCTTAGGCTGTTTCATCTTCCTCTCAAAGTTTCTCTTGGGATCTTGGATCCTTTTCGTTATGTTGGATATGTCACTTGAGTCCAGCATTTTTGAGAAATTTTGATTTAGCATCTTCCGAGTCCGTTCGTTTATAGGAAGACATTTTTCAAGCGGCCTCCAGCCAGACCAAGTCAGGATAAGTGTTCCGTGTTCAAAATTCAAGCTGAACAGTCGCAACAATCTGATGACATTGCGTTTCAACTTGCTGTGATGCCGCTGATGCCTGTGATGTTTTCTATGCCTCTGATGCCCCTGATGTCTCTGATGTCTCTGCCAAACCTCCATGCCTCTGTCATCTAACCTCGATGACGTTTGGTAGTAATGAAGCAGGCTTACGGCTTTTCAATGCGCTGCGAGGGTTATAAAATATATGCATGTGAATTATGTGCTTTGGTAAAAATGTTTAAGGATAAAAGTCGTTACCTACCCTAACTGTTGGCTTAATACACCCACGCCACATAGATGGCGGTCATAGCGCAAACCAAGTAAGTTAATTGACGGGATCTAGCACATGCTTTGATTAAACTGCCATTATTGCAAATTGTCCAGCGGCATGCGTGTAGATGCGACGTTCTCCGGCATCCTAAGCTGCAGGCTACCCCACCAATGCAAAGCTTGAAACCCGGTAAGGTGGGCAATACTATTCACACCGGTGATTCTTGCAGCTCTAATTTGGTGCCACCGCATTTTTTCAGGCGTATAATTTTGAAATGCCTGAAAAATAAAAGGATGAAAGGATGAACAAGGATGGCCAAACTCATCGTGCTTCGTCAAGTCTATGAATTTTACTGGTGAATTGTACTCGGGAAGCGTTTGGGTTTCATCATCATCTACCAATCCGTCATTTTACTTGTTTATATTTGGTCCCAAGAGACCAAATAAAGTACCGTAACGTAAAATGACGAGTAGATGCACGATAATGCGACAGCAGGAAAACGCGTCGCGAAGTTGTCTTGCTTATCCGTTTTTCTCAAGCACTTCACACTTGACATAAAAGTGAAGTCCTTTTCTAACAATGTTCACGTGAAATGGGCTATAGGATACTTTTTAAGCTGGGCACCTTTTAAATTTATCCTCATACGCGTAAGAACGAAGGGGAGGGGTTCGTGAGTGTCATGGCACCCGCTTTTTGGGAATGCTGAACGCTGACGTTATGAAAACGCATGAAAAGAATTAACCTCAGAGCTGGCATTGACACCCCCAGTTCCCGACACGCTTGTTGTTTAGTTTTTCGTTTTCGTTTAGGGTGAACGCTACCAGCTGGTCGCATTGCCATCACCCCATATTTAGTGTTGGATTAAAGTATTTGGTCACAAACATTATTATAAACTGCGCATGTATAGGATCAACCGCGCCAAACTATCATTAGACCCCAAGCTGTCGCACAAAGATGAGTAGTGCCTGCCATGCCTTTGGCATTATTTGTGGTCGGAGTTAAACATTTTGAAATGATTGGATAGGTTTTGTCTTGGTATCACTGCTTAACGCAATTAAACGAACCCGCTATGCATAAAGCGCAACCTAATTTCACCATGGTCAGTGATCCTGTATTGCTTATTCGTTATTTCCGCTCGTGAGTAGCCACCAGCGGATTAGTATCCACTCATTATATCCGAGTCGTACGTTTAATGTTTCTTAAGACTGGGTCTGGTTCATGGGACATGCAGATTCAGAGGCTCAAATATTAAGGACATTATGAAATTATTAGCTTACAATATAGCTTTGGCTACAGTGGAGATCCCAGAAATGCATCCTGACATCGGATCCCTAAGTCCTGGATCTGAGATCCAAGAAGATCTTGGACCAGAATGCCGTTTGATTATTTTGTCGAGGAAAATTTTGAGATTCTGGAACCATTTTTAAAGTTTGTCAAAAGAATTTCCAAGACCTTGGATCGTGTCGGGAATTTTGTTGGATGACCTTTCGAGATATAAAATTTTGTTTTCTAATGTTGTCAAAGAGTTATTGAAAGTTCATATTTTCCTAACTCTGGCGTGAGGTCTTTCGTACCTGACATCTTTTTGCCATTTTTGTTGAAAGATTCTTTGGCATTTGGAATACCGTCTTGGGACCCAGGCGCATGTCTGGTCCCGGGCGAGGAAAAGCGGTCGAAGTTCCATCGGGAGTCTTTCATTCTTTACATTCCATGCAAAATGTAATGCACGAGGATAATGTTAAATCGTGCAAAAGATATACAAGGAGCCTGTTTCCCTCTCTCTGTAGCCAAGGCGATTGGTGTCAATACAGGCCTGGGTCTAACCGCACGCTTTATCCTATCCATATACTTGCAGAGTGTCAAGGTCGCAGTGCGACTCATACAATGACACACAGTTGGGAGATTGATCCACACCACATGCATTGTTTAAGAGGAAGTTTCCCCTGGCACGCATTAAACAACCATGGCAGCTGTAACTTACCCGAGGCATCGACCCGCGGCCGAGTGCTTCATCAGCGATGTTTCTAATTTTACCCGCAGTTTAACAGAGTAGTGCTTAAACTTCACCCCGATACATTCAGGCCTGAATCCTGCCGATCCAAATGACTCCGCCAAGCGTCTTTTGCTGCCATTCGGATCATACACCATCGTTGAGCAAACTGTCATACACTGACCAGTGGTGCTTGGGCGGACGTTCGAATGGAGGACGAGTGGGCGTTGGACGCGGCTGCGTGGGCGGCTGCTGCCGACGCGTTCCCGCCGCGCAACACTGGCGACGTCAAGCGACCAGTTGCCACTGTTGCAAGTTGGAGTGACGGCTTTCGCTGACCGGTGGACTATTTTCATCGTCACAAACTTTACCGTACCAAACTTCAGAGCTACAGCTTACTCAGCGAACTGAATCCCCGGTCTTTTATTGTTTCTCTAGCGCGACATTCTGATTAACTGCGGTTAACTGAGACTTGGAACTATTCATACTTAACTGGAGTGCGTAGAATACGGTGTGGAGTGTGGAATGCCATTCTCCAAAACAAAGTTGGATATAGGTTGGTACGTGGAGGTATATGCTCCCCAAACAGAGAGAAGCTGCCTCCGCGCACAGCGCTGAGGAAGAAGGAATGCATCCGCGAATCATTTCTTGTCCATACTCCAGATAGCATGAGGTGTTTCTGGATGTAAACTAACAAAACTTTAGCAGTGTTTAGGATTTCTTTTGCAAAACATGCCTTCAACTTTTTAGCTTGTTGTCGAATATTCTTCACCTTCTCTGGTTGGTAGGAGAGATGCCAATTAGCTTTGCAAGCGGAAACTCATCTTCCGCGGCTCTTACGTGATGCGTCAGTGCCAGTGTGCATGCAGTGGCATAGTATGCAACCAAACACGTTTCTCTCTCTTAGACGCACTCGGCTTAAGTTTGATGTGCTGCGATATAGCATCATTGATCTCCTTATGTCCCCGCGTAGGTATTTTATTATCATCGTATTTTTGGGGCCGTGCGGCTACGTCGTATTTCACCCGCACGTCAAATCCCACCGGAACCATAAAATACGGGCCATTCCGAAGATTAGCGGAGGTGTTTACCACCCATTGGAAATTGTTTTCCTTAGCCTTCCCTTAATCCCGATGCAATGTGTTTCTTATTACTCTGCATGGATTATCTTGACAATATCTTGGCTTCCTATCGATACGCGCCAAGCTTTATCAAGGGCGTACTTCGGCCACAACACGTACCGCGGGGACTGTGGGATTTCTGATAACGTTACGCCTCTTTTAGTGCTAAAGTATATGCTACATTGATGTGCACCCGTCGGCGCATGTGTCATGCACGATTGCCGCGTACATGCAAAACATCCGCAACCCATATCGACACAATCTTCTTCAAAACCTGCTGGCAGAACGGCTAAATTGTACAATATCCTGCTACAGTACATCTCTTTATGGTATACAGCTAATGCCTCTTTTGATCTGTATTTGATGTCCCGTTAGGTTTGCATTCACCCAAAAGTGTCAGGGGTGAACCTTACGTGTTCCTATAGTTTTAAGCAAAGTTTGAGGATTGGTATGCATAACAAACTCGACGTTCTGGCGCCCAAATCCAAATATGGTGCGAAAGAATGAGGCATTGGTGACGGTGATCTGCTACACAGTCCTTACATCTTGTACTGGTATCATTTTAAACTCCCCCATATGACTCACCCGTCAGTTTCAGTCAAATGCGGCGATATTATGTTCTTATCATCATGGTCAGCTGACCAGATTGCTGTTACGCAAAGTTGGCTCAAATCTAGGCATTCCATAAATGCCTTCCAAAGGATCAGTTTTGGGTCATCTTCATCATGTTTGCCTTCGATGACCAATGTTTATTACCAGCACGTACCGTGCAGAAGTCGCCGCAAAACAAAAAGGAAAAAGCTACCCTGGGTGGGTTTTGATACCTTACTTTCACCGCTTTAATCTTTCATGACCGTTGCGACATCGTTAGCGTTCAGTTGGTCCTAAAAAACCGTCTCTTGGATGAATATCATGCTGCTGGAATATTTACCAGGCATTATGTGACATCGGCCGCAACTGATCCTTGCAGAGTTACAAGCATTGAGAATGTGATCTTGATCACCAATGA